CCAATACAAATCCATGGTTACCGGGCGGTCGTATACATGGTGAAACTGTCCCGTCCCGTGTCCGATGGGGGTCTGACAGATCGCAATGACCCATAGGGTTGAGCGGCTTGAGATAAACAGCAGTGGCTATAGATTGCTCGGCACGTCCGGGCACCGGTCTTTTCGTTTATGCCGGCAGTTTTCATAATAGCACATGTGTACAAACATGTATGTTGGCTTTATTTAAGCATATATATATATGTCCATGTGAGTTTTCAATAAGCCGGTCCTAGCCGATCTCCATAAGAGCGCCGGCGTTACGTATGTAGGTCGCTGTTCGAATCCGCATCGGTTTTATAATTATTTCCTGTTTCTGGTATTTTCTAATCTTTATCCATTTAAGCAATTCTTTCCCAATTAACTCAAATACTTTAACATGATTTTCTAAGCCAACAATTAACATTAAATTTCATTGTTTTATTTAAAGACAGTAAGCGCTCTAGGATTTTACTGCATACAACTGTACTTACCGTATAAGCAGAATCGTCTATACCCACATGAGTTCACAAAGAATACTTAATTAATATTTACCACATCAATACCGCACGGAAATTGAGACGCGCCATTACACCGCGATCGTCGCTGCCACCCACTGAACAAAGTTGCGTAATTGCATGTTTTATTTCCGTACGCAGTAAATGACCGACGGCGTAATCACAACAAAGTCAATGAACTTTATACGCATAAATGCTATTTAACCGAACGATATTTCACTTTAAGGGCAAATTTATCCATATAAAACTGAAATACATACCTGTCGTTTATAAGAATATTACAATCCGTTTGCTTTTAAATGAAATAATATAAAGAAATCCCCGTCGTAGCCCTTTGCTGGAAAGTGGTTTTGCGCAACTTCTCAGATCGTGCGCTTTGAGGTGGCGCCACCGTCGTTGTAATCAAAGCTGTAGCGTTAGTTTGTAATATAACATTAAACAAAAAAAATTCTAAATGGTGATTGAACCATGAAAAACTTTATGTAGCACGAATTATAGACCCCAATGAGCTGAAAATAACCTAAGAACTAGAGGGCTACTGTTCCTTTAATTAAATTTTATTAGTGTTAATTAAATTTAAATAGGTAGTTTAGGGTTATTCAGAAAGATCTAAAAACGTCAAGAGAGTCAAACCATGGTCAAAGAGAGGTGACACTGCCAGCATTTTAGGAAATCGAAGCCCGTGCCCGGCTGCCGGCAATATAGCCATAAAGCGTAAAATAATTTGCATGAAGTAACGCAGTACAAAAACACAACCGTACAACAAAAAGAAAAAGTATAATACAAAAAACTACAGATACTTTTCTGTACAAATAAGTGATTAAACAATTAAGGTACACTATTAAAATTAAATTCAACACCGCCATCAGAATACAAAGTCAATACGTACTATCATTGACAGACGCAAGCCCGGCTGCACGTAGTATGAAACCCACACTCACGCACGCGCAAAACACGACACACACCAAGCGGATACCGACGGCACGCACAGCACACACGCACACAATCATATTATTATCAAATCAGACAGAAACATGACAATAAAAATTAGTTATTCTTTTATAGATCTGCATATATATTGTTAAAATTGTTAGTTGTTAAACATATATTTAAACGTGTGCCTAAGTGAAGGGCTTTTTTGCATCTATGG